AATACGTTTTTTTACTGTCTGGCCCCTCGCGAAATATTTGACCTTCGGCCGGAAGTAATTTTCGAGTCAAAATAATCAGTATTACATTTTTTTACGATATTTTCACTGGGAATAGAAATAAATACATACATACTATATACAATTGCACTACTAAAAAAATTAAAATAATACAAGAAGTTTATCTGCTAAATTAAATATAGGATAGAGTACCCTAAACCGTACAGCTTTGGACAAAAGTTAAAAAAATGAGCAAATTTTTTGGTTTGGGTGGTTGTGATTACTGCCAATATTTAGATTGATGTGTTTCACATCTTATATATTTTTTTCAGATATTTATTAACCTTATTTCAACAGAAATATTAATTTTTCAAAAGCCTTTGCTAATGGTTGGATCCAGGAAACCAGTTACCGAAATCATACCACTATTATAGGCTCTCTATAACGTATCTATCGTCGATTCCATATTCTCCATCCGACAACTACAGGAACAATTAAAAAAGCAGCAGTGTAAACTTTATGTTGCATTCATCTACCTAACAAAAGCCTTCGACTCTGTGACCTGAGATGCACTTTGGGCAATTATGAAAAATTTCGGAGTACCCAACAAATTTCTTACAGTATGTAAACATCTCCATAACAACAAGACAAGAGTGTCACATCATGGATAGATAACCTTCCTAACAAATACAGTAGTTAGTCAGGGATGTGTCTTGGCGCCTCTCCTATTCAACATATGTATGGCTCCATTATAGTGGACAGCAAACTGCAGGAAAGCGGACTGGGCATTAGATGTTCGGCGGTCTGTTCAACACACAAAACACATACACAAGAAGAAGTGCGAGCGCCTTGCTAAATATTGGAAAGTGAAATTGACGTTTAAATTTGACACATTTTGACAAGTCTACTGATACTAGCGCCCCCAATTTCGCTTGTAGGAACTACGGACTAAATTGTCACGCATGGCGGGAAGTTCAAAAAAATAAAAAAAATTATTTCTTCATTTATTTTTAATTATGACATACACAAAAACACAAAAATACACCATTTTTTAAAAATATGTTTAATATCAATATCAAATATACAACAGAAATTAATTTCACCACAATAAATTAATAAAATTAAAAGAATAATGTTACAAGTAGCGTAGAGACAAAATTAATTATAACAAAACTGAAAAAAATGGCGTCATAGATGGCTTAGAAATAAAAGATATATCATAATTTTGAAAGTAAAATTATATGGGAAATGTCATCGATCATCATTTTTAAGCCAACTGGACGATTATTTCAAACATACAAGCTGATTCTTTCATAGTGCTCTGAGAAATCTAGATAAACAAAGAATAATAAATTAAAAGTATTCCAGGAAAAAAGAGAGGAAAAACCTGTATCGTCTGATATCTGTCAGGGTATTGTTGAAAGTGTCATCTTTTTGCTCGAAGTTTTCAGGTCGATTAAAAAGATGATATTTACAACAATACTTTGCTGTAACTTTCACAAATATCAGAGAGAGTACATATAGGTATTGCCTCTCTTTTCCTCTGGGATGCTTTATATCAGTTGTTCTTTGTTTATCTATATTTCTCAGAGCATAATGCCGAACACGACTATAGTATATAATAATTTCAATATCCGAAGTGGAAAGAAAAAAGATCACCTTTATGATTTGGACTATGGTCCCTTTCTTCCGATGGCTCATCTCGTTGATATTTAGGACGGATAAATAGGAAGGAAAATATAAAATTCAATTTGATTTGATGGTCCTTTTCTGTCACCTAAAAAACGACAATGAGCATGTTAAGATGAAAAAAAAAATATCAACACTTACCTACACGTTAGTCCGAGGAGTTTTATTAAAAACCTATATTTGCCTAAATAATTTTATGTATTAAATTTGCAAAGCAAAATGCAGCGTGTAAACAAAAGAAATAAAATGACGACAAGTCAACGTCAACGACCCGACAAGGAGAAAAGTGGTGTTCGAATAACAAATTATGGGTCACCAAAAATTGTTTTTGTCTCCTTTCAATGCACACTTTAGAAAGAAAAAGAGATGAACTGGAATACTGAAAGAACGTCAAGGCTTTATCTGTCACTTTTGTCAATAATTTATCGGTAAGGAAGATTCCTAGAAAATCGCTTGTAGTCAAGTTTTCAACCATTGCCAGTTCTCCCATAAGAAGTGTCATCCACCTGGTTCAACATAAAAAGACTCAGGGCAAAAACACGTACAAAATTTATCACAGAATCAATACGCCGATGACTGCGCTCTAGTTGCTAAAACGTTACAGCAATTATAAGAAATGTTGAACACATATACCTGGGCATGCGAAACTTTGGGCCTTAAGCTGAACATCGATAAAACTAAAATCATGAGCAAAACTAAAATCCCTCGAAAATCACAACAATGCTACAAAAATCGGAGAACTATTGGAATATGTCGCAGAATTCAATTGCCTCGGCAGTTTGATTTCGGAAAAGGTCAATATCGACTCTGAAATTCAGCACAGGATTAGCAGCGCCTCAAGAGCATTCTGGAAATTAAAAGACAGGGTTTTCTACAATCATGACTTAAGCACAGAAACAAAACTTGCATTGTACTTGCAGCATTCGATTATAGACCAAATTCTATACACCTCCAAAATACAAAAAATCTGTAAAACATAATTAATAGTTAATTAATAATAAATTCACTTTGAATCAGAGATAGGAAGCATGATTACTCAACATCCAAAATAATTTCACATTGATTTTAATTATAATACCAAGTAATGTGAAAGACAGTCATACCAAACAATTATAATTAATATTTATTAAAAGTTATATTTTTCCGGGCTCTGTATGCGCAATATAATAAATATTTATTAATCGTACATGACAAACGCAACACTTTTTAACTTTGCGTGTGGCATATAATTATCGCTGCCACATGTACGCAATAAAAATGTCTGCTATCTCTATAGTGAAATATATATCTGCAACGGAAATCAGCTGTGGGGCGTTTATGTTTTTTATGAATTAGTTATAACCCTTTAGAATACATGTTTTAATATTCAAATACACGGTTCCTTTATTAATGTTTTTTTTATTTGCAATAGATAGGACTTCAAGCTTCCAAGTACTCTAAAAGTTAATAATATCATGTTATTTAAGATTTTCTTTTTAATATTGAGGAGTTTTAAATAAGTACAAATATTTTCAGAGCTGGTAGATCTCGAGAAAAGAATCATATTTTCTTTTTATCGTTTTTCAAATAAGTGTAAAATAAGCGAGTTATTTTACTTTGAAAATTTCCAAAAAAAAATGATTTTTTGCTTGAATTTTGAAAACCACTGGATCTTTTCTGGGTTTTCTTTGTCGTAAATTTGCCATATTATCAAAAAATTATATTTTTATAAGAAAATTATAAAATATAAAATCTAAAAAAATTTGGATTTTTTTTCAAAAAATCTCAATTTTTTAAAATTTTTCTTTCGCGAGAAACCTTCATAATCCTGGTTCTGTGGTCGAAATAATATACTACCCCTAAAATTATTTGCCGAGTTATTTGCACTTATTTAAGACCCACCCTGTACCTATAGAGCGGTGGTTGTATTTTTTACATAGTTATCTGCTATATAGGTTGTCGCTAAAACAAGTGCCTGTATTTAGAGTAGCGATGGGAACTATCGAATGAATTAGACTATCGAATGGTTATTGAATGAATGATTTCAACTATCGAATGGTTTTATTCGAATAAAATCATTCATTCTACTAAATGGTTATCGTTGAGCCACGACTATCGAATGCTTTTGATAAATGAAATTTAGTATTCGTTTGATTTGTGTGCGTCAGTGTATTATTAGTTCTTACAAATTTTTATAACTTCGCCTTATAAATACTGTGCTATTTTTGCGTTTATTAAAATATTTAAAATACTAAAATAGTAGTTTTTTTTAATTGACGATTGTGTGCGTGTGCAGGTGTCAAAATTTTTCCGAAAATTTGTGTGATTTTCCATAGCCCGATCTTTCAATTATTTTATTTTATATGGTATATGGTCTATTTTTTAATGGGAAATTTTTAAAAGTAGCAATTTTTAAGAGAGATGAGATGAACTTAGAATTAATTTTAAAAATACATATTTGTATTTTAGATGTTTTAATAATATGAATTAGTTGAACTTAATAATCATATTTAAGTAATGTGGTTAAGTAAATGTGGTTATCGAACTCAAACTATGGGGTGAGAAAATTGAATTGAAAGTTTTACACGTTCCAATTAAAAAAAAAGTTAACGATGTTTGTATTTTGTTTATGCTAATTCTCTTACATGTAGTTTTTTGCAAAGAAATATTTCATTTATTTTTTAAAGTAAATGCCAGTAAAAGTAAATATTATTGTTAAAAAGTAATATAAAGTACCTAATATAAATAATTTTGATTTCTATTTTTTTTATTTATATTTTCCTTTCATTACACTGCATGCTTAGAAAATTAATAAATATTTATATTTCATGATTTTAAAGTTTGTTGTTAATATAACGAATTAGTTCTGTAATTATTATTATTTAATAAACCAACGTTGCCAAAAAATTTAAAGACTATATTATTTTTAAATAGGATCTAATATTAATAATTTTGACATCTAATTTGTTGTTTATATTTTGCTACTACGTAAAAAAAATGTTTATATTAAATTATTTTAATTTTTGTTGTGATAGGTATAACAAATTATTACTGTTATTATTATTTTTATTAAACCAGTCTTTGCTTAAAAACATTAAAAATCATTTTCCTACATCCAAAATAACAAGTATTATTGCAGTGTAACAACAGAATATTAATAAAAAAAATGCAAAATATATAGACATACTATCCCTAACTAACTAAAGCCAAACAATTATATTCTTTGCTAAAAAACAAGGCTAATATCAACTAATACCAATATATGGCAACAGCGCCCTTCATAATGTATTTTCTGTGTAAATACTAGTGTAAGAGCGAGTAAGAAAAATATAATATTTTTTTTTTGTTTATATAGCATAATATATGAATGGTGTTAACATCAATTTAATATTCAATCAACATAAATAAAAGAAGCCAAACTTACCTTGAATGCCTGATCTGCACAATACTTCTCACTCCTTGAAATATATATTACGTGTTTTGCAATCTATAAAAATAAAATATACTTGAGCATCACTGGAAAACGCACACAATCACATTACCATAATCGAGTATATAAAATAGTTAAATATGTTTGTTATTGTACCGTATCTAAGGCCACAAGGCGTCTCACCTACATATAGGCATGGCCCAAAAGCGACATAGTCGTAGCTTAGGCCAGAAGGCGTCTCACCTACATATAGGCATGGCCCAAAAGCGACATAGCTTAATGTTGTTCCGTATCGACAATAAATAACACTAAAACACTCATTGATAAACATCTATCCTTTAACTAAATAATATTAAAATGCTCTTTGATAAATACTTGTCTACTATAAAACACACACACACAAAAGTAATACTAAAACACCCTTTACTATCTACTACTAAAGTTCAGTGATAACTGTTAACTAAATAATATTAAAATACTCTCATACAAATCCTAGCAATACCCGTGAATGGACAAAATACACTCTCACACAAAAGTAATACTAAAATACCATTTTCTATCTACTACTATAACTCAGTAATAACTGTAAATTAAATAATATTAAAATACTCTCACACAAATTCCAGTAATACCCGTGAGTGAACAAAATACACTCACACACAAAAGTAATACTAAAATACCATTTTCTATCTACTACTATAACTCAGTGATAACTGTTAACTAAATAATATTAAACTACTCTCATACAAATCCCAGTAATGCCCGTGAGTGAACAAAATACACTCACCTGTATAATACTTCATTCCTTCTATTCAGTCCCAGAAATATTTTCCACACAATTATAATCTGAATTTAATATTTTTTGATAAATGGCGACGTCAGGCAAAATAATCATCAACAATGCAAACCGCATCGTCTAGGAAACGACCATTTTATACATGCGGTCAAGAAAAGCCAATTAGAGAATCAAATAAAATATTATTTCTTAAAATAACACAATTTAATATAAACAATTTTTTTAACGGAAAACAAGACTCTTACAGTCGGCCATCCTGCTAGAAGCTCGTCCCGAGCTTGCCTAATCGGATTTCATTAGGCTTACGCCTAATATCGCCTAATTATCGGATAAATACGCTTAAATATCGGATAATACTAAATCTCCATATTTACCATATCTTTCACTAGCAGCTGAATCTGAAACTTCACCACATGTTTCCAGTGTATCACTGCCACCGTTCGTTTAGTTAACTTTACGTTTGTTTCAATAAGTGGACTCCATATCCTCTACCACGTACCTATCATGTGACAATTCGGATTTTATTACTATTGGTCCGCTGCAGACGGAAAGTAATTTACGGCTGATATGACTACTGGTGCTGTTCTCTTGATAAGCACCAAATCACCTATCTTGGGCTGTCTTGCTTCTTTACGAGTTTTATCAAAGTAAACTGTCTGTTTCCTTTCAGCCAGCTCAGTTAATCTGCTTGTTCTTTCTCTTTCAAGTAAAAGACTATCTACTACCCGAAGTATTCATGTAACTGCATAAACCAAGCATTGATCGGTTGTTTGTCTTTGATGATTTGATTTGATTTGATTTGATTTGATTCCATTTAATATAAATACAATGGTACTTAGATTATAGGATCTCCACGAAGAATATATACAGAAAACTAGAACAATTTTAAGATATAAAATTACACAAAGACAAATATAAAACAAATATACCTGAATTTATACACAAACAGAACAATTTTAATTCAAGAATTATTATTATATATCTGCCGATAAGCCTTGAGTTTTGAGGTCCCGGAAGAATTCGTTTAGCGTGTAGTAGCTCTTTGATATAGAGAATTTATTTAAATTAATTTTTTTTTGTTTAAGTTCAGAGGTTCAGAGTGATATCTATGGACGAATTCACTTGAAGTTTTTCCGGTGTTCTTATTTGGCATATTGTTTATGTTTATATTGTTGTGTCCTTTAGAGTTGAGATCATTTAGAGTTCCTTTAGAGTTGAGATTATCAGTGAATTGTGGATTGTGTAATTGTAATGTTCAATTTGACTATCAGCTCTACACGTTGCCACCGCTAATTTGTATGGATGTATCCGCTTGTTACAGCGTCCTTCGTCCGTTGTCCCAATATCTCCTGATAGTATAGGTTCCCTTCCGACATGGCTCGTCGAATCATTGATTCCAGGAAGGTTTAGGTCAGCCTCGTTTACGTCCGTCTCTAGGTGTCTACTGCAATACTTGCTTTGGTATTCTGTCGTCAGCCATTCGTTGTACCTACATGTGGCCGTACCACTGTAGTTGTTTTTCTTGTATATCTTTACAATGTTACCATCCACCTTCATTTTTTTTTTCATGTATTCTCTCGTTCCTAATTCTGTTTAAACGAGAGATTCGGGCTGATCTTCACCAGAAGTCCATTTCGGTAGACAACAACTTCTTTTTATGTTTTTTTTTGCTTAACAGCCATACCCCAGAGTCATATAACATTGCGCTTTTCAGAATCGCGTTATAGATCAGTTTTTTTTTCTGTGATCCGAGATATTTTTAAATTAAAGCACCAACGCTACTTTCACAGGTATACTTGCTCGTTCTTGACAATAAGCACTGAACATTTTAGATGTGAAAACAGATCAGTGATAATCCGAATAGGTCGTTCAAATAAAGCAGATATGTCATCCAAAAATATCAACACTTTACTCGTCTTTGTTGTACTGACGGCTTTCATGAAAATAAACTTAGTAAAGGCATCTATGGCGTTAAATAATTATGATTCTTCTTTCTGCTTTTTGGATAAAGTCCGAAGTAATCAAGATAGACGGTATGCATTGGAAGTTCTTTCTTCTGTTGGTCGTTTTCTTTATTCAAGCACAGTCTACAGCACTTAATGTATTTCCCACATTAGCTTTCATCCGGGGAAACCAATAATACCTAGTAAATTTTTTAGCAGCTAAGTGGTTCAAATCATCGTGAGAAGTTCGAACTACATGAAATCACATTTTTTTGCAGAACTACCCATTGTAGTATTTTGGCTTTAGTTCTGTAGACTTGTCCTTCACGTATGGGATAGTCTTTGTAGATTCTCCTAGCATGTTCAGTATCCAGCAGTTCTGATAGTAACTTGCTCACTTGGTGATATTGGCACTGCATGACTGATCGCAAAGTTATTTTCTGTACATCATTTATTCCAGGAGAAGAACTAGCTTCAGACAAGAAAGTTCATCTTTCATTACACGAACGCTCCGTTGTCAGGTAAATATCCACCGATCTTTAAATGCCATCGATTTGTAGTTCTAAATTGGTAGTATCCAAAAATTCAACTCTGCCATCACGATGTCCTTTCAATACACAACATCGAGATATATGTATAGGTAAAGTCATAGGATTTGCTTCACTCTTCTATATAGTGTTACATGTACTTTCAAAATCTATGTATGCTTTCGACGTTCGGCCATATACTTTTACTACTCTGTAATATTTTTGACTGGTTTTGACTATCAGGTCGTACCGAATCTCTTCTGTCTCGTGACAAATTTTGAAAAATTTCCAAATTATTTCATATTCTGACTTTCTCTTGTTGTTTGAACTCTTTTCTAGCCACATTCATACGTCTTTTCTTTGGTCTATCTGCCATCAGTTAAGTCGTAGTTAAGTAATTAAGTTGTAGTCGAAGTAAGTTGGCCGCTATTTCTGTCGCCCATACAAATTAAATACATCACTAGTAACTGTAATTTTATTAATAATAATACTACATATTTATTTATCCACAAATAATGATCTAATAACATAATTTGGGCATGTCAGATATCTTAAATAAATACAAACTTATAATAAAAATATGTATAAACTGAAAATACGCAAAAATATATTATACATAGACCTGAAAGGCTCAGATCCCACTTCTGAATTGTAAGAGCGAGTAAGAAAAATATAATATTTTTTTTTTGTTTATATAGCATAATATATGAATGGTGTTAACATCAATTTAATATTCAATCAACATAAATAAAAGAAGCCAAACTTACCTTGAATGCCTGATCTGCACAATACTTCTCACTCCTTGAAATATATATTACGTGTTTTGCAATCTATAAAAATAAAATATACTTGAGCATCACTGGAAAACGCACACAATCACATTACCATAATCGAGTATATAAAATAGTTAAATATGTTTGTTATTGTACCGTATCTAAGGCCACAAGGCGTCTCACCTACATATAGGCATGGCCCAAAAGCGACATAGTCGTAGCTTAGGCCAGAAGGCGTCTCACCTACATATAGGCATGGCCCAAAAGCGACATAGCTTAATGTTGTTCCGTATCGACAATAAATAACACTAAAACACTCATTGATAAACATCTATCCTTTAACTAAATAATATTAAAATGCTCTTTGATAAATACTTGTCTACTATAAAACACACACACACAAAAGTAATACTAAAACACCCTTTACTATCTACTACTAAAGTTCAGTGATAACTGTTAACTAAATAATATTAAAATACTCTCCATACAAATCCTAGCAATACCCGTGAATGGACAAAATACACTCTCACACAAAGTAATACTAAAATACCATTTTCTATCTACTACTATAACTCAGTAATAACTGTAAATTAAATAATATTAAAATACTCTCACACAAATTCCAGTAATACCCGTGAGTGAACAAAATACACTCACACACAAAAGTAATACTAAAATACCATTTTCTATCTACTACTATAACTCAGTAATAACTGTAAATTAAATAATATTAAAATACTCTCACACAAATTCCAGTAATACCCGTGAGTGAACAAAATACACTCACCTGTATAATACTTCATTCCTTCTATTCAGTCCCAGAAATATTTTCCACACAATTATAATCTGAATTTAATATTTTTTTTGATAAATGGCGACGTCAGTCAAAATAATCATCAACAATGCAAACCGCATCGTCTAGGAAACGACATTGTATACATGCGGTCAAGAAAAGTCAATTAGAGATTCAAATAAAATATTATTTCTTAAAATAACACAATTTAATATAAACAAATTTTTAACGGAAAACAAGACTCTTACACTAGCACCTCAATAAAAAAAAATGTGTCCTTATCTTTATATGACTCCGCAAAAAATCAAAGATGCCGGTTTCTTTCATAGCATTGCCACCGACCGCTGTCAGGTTTCTCGGAAAGAAACCTACGTCGCCGGGCGACAACTAAAATCCAGTTAATATTTTATTATAATTATAATCGATCCTGACGAATAAATGAATTTCATAAATGAATGAATTTTATAAATGAATGGTTTTTGCTGCCGCATTACTAGAATACAATATTTCAAGGCAGATGACGTATCTATTCGATAATTTTTATTCGAATAGTTTTCAACGAATGTTTTCTTACCAGCTATCGAATTATTCGAATGAATTGCAACTATCGAATGTTTCGATAGTATTCATTCGATAGTTTCCACTACTAATTTAGAGAATGGTAGATCTGGATCCAGAAACATATTTTCTATACGGGGTGTCCCAGGCTGAGCGTGCATTAGAAGTTTCTAGAGAACTACAATATTTAGATCGGAGATTTTTTGCGCATCATTGTTTCACAATGAGATCTATGGATTAAAAATATTTTCAATATGGCGGCACTATCGGAGATAAGGGAAGTTGACAGCAACTTTCTTATTTTAAATGAGTAGCCCCATTTTTCTATTATATATTCAAATGTTATTTAAAATTTTATGAATTTTGTTATTAACACTCTATACCTAAAAAATATTTAAAATTTTTGGAGGAAAAGAACTCTGTCAAAAAAATTGTGGCTATCTATTTCAGAAATTAAATTGTTTGAATGTCATATAATTAGATTATTTTCTTTTATCTATGCATATAATATTGGCCGTAGCTGTCATGGAATGGAGAGATAAAAATATTATCATAATTCATTATTTTCAAATGAAAACCTACTTTTTTTATTTCACTAGTGAAAAGGTTTTTTAATTCGCGTTACTTTTTGATTATACATGTTCCTATACGAGTATACCTAAAATAAATCGTTTTTAAGTTATTTAAGATTTAGTTTTAGTTCTAAATTTGACGTTTAGGCTATAACAAAAATTTTGACAGGCAGTTTTTTTCCTCCAAAAATGTTAAATATCTTTTTCTCAAAAACGGTTAATGTTAGGTGCAGTGTTTCATATCAAAATTCATAAAATTTTACAGAGAATTTAAGTATGTAATAAAAAATGGGGTACCCATTTAAAATAAGAAAGTTGCTGTCAACTTCCCCTATTTCCAGTGCCGCTATATTGAAACTATTTTTAATTGAAAAATCTCCGATCTAGATCTGGTAGTCACACCCTGTATACTATTTTTAAAATAATTTAAAAAACACCACGGTAAACGAGTAACTTCATTTTTTTACCGCTGTCAATTGGAAAAAAATTATTTTGTTTAGGACGAACAGAACGAACAAACATAATAAGTAATTCGTAATTCTAATAATATAGTTTCGACAATAGCTAACATTAAACTTTATAGAATGCCTACCAATTCCGGTATCTGAAAAACTCATTACACAGTTGCTGCATAATTTAACTGGAGCCCCTACACATCGTGAGAAAAGTCCCCAAAAGCTCATTTCCATTCACAATTGGAAACTGAAAACAGTAATTACGCAGACAGCGATGATGTCAGAACCATACGTGCCGTGCATGCGGACGGGCCTCGCAGGGAGACCCGCAGGAATTCTTTTCCTTCTCTCTTTCCCTCTTGTTTCTTTTATACTTCCTTAGCTCACACACGTTACCGCAGACAGCTGCTGTCGGTCTTCTTTTAGTTCCTTTAATTCGAGGGATTGAGGCGGAAATGCGCTTTGAAGACTGTGATAATTTGGTATTTATTATTTAAAATAAAACTACTTGGTTGAGTGTTCAAAATTAAACTAACTTTTATTCTTCGTATTAATACAGGGTGGCGCCTCTCATACGCCGCGGAAGCTCCAAGGAGAACGGTAGTTTATATCGAAATGAAATTTTGGCAGCGTATGTAGGTTAACTGAAAACATTTTATAAAAATATATAGAATTATACAGGGTGTCCTCAAAAAAAGTTACACATCAAAGTTATATTTTTTCTAATGGAACACCCTATATATTAATTGATTTTCGGATTCTAGGAAAAAAATAAAGGTGAGTTTTATTAAAGAAGCATATACCTAAAATCTAAGGATTTTGACATATTTTACATTTTGTGAAAATGAAGAGTAAATTTTAAATTTCGATAACAGCTACCTAAATTTTAGTTGACCTTGTACTGTTTGACCAGCGGATCTGAAGCTACGGAAGGAATGCGAGAAAAAAAAATCGATATTGCCACGTTTATCTATAAAATTGCAAAATTGCCAGACATGAACTATAAATTTAATATATTTTTATTATATATAATGTGTTTAGCATATATTCTGACGTATATTACTAAGGAATTTTAACGTAGTTCATATTGTTCGATATGTTTTATTTAATAACTTATTTCTTTCATTCTGTATAATCTGCTTATTATGGAAGTTGAAGATTTTTTAACGATATCTTTGGCAAACCGGCATCGCCGCGCATGGCCGCCTATTCATCGAACATGATTGGCGAGAGTACGTCACAGGATTTGTTACCACGCGCTTGCCATGGCTTTTAAGCCTTTCCTATATATTCGCTTGCTTTATCCCCAACTTCAGGGTCTCTTCTGAAAAGAGTAGGAATATTGAATACTATTGAAATATCCAGTGGCGGTGTCATTTTTTTGATCATTATTACTTTATTTCATTATTTTATACCGGTTATCCTAAACTTTGTTCCTATATTTTTCGTATATTTGATAGTTAAGTTGTGTTTTATTGTTTTGTTATCTTGTTATAATGTTTTTCGTTCATAGTTTTTAATTATTAATATCAAGCTTGATCGTATATTTGTATTTTAAAATGAATAAATTTGTTAAGGGTAAGACGCTACATAGTCAGACAAGAGAAATATAGCTAATTTATATAAGTAAGTTAATAATAACGTGGATGAAATCTCATTTGGTTTATTTCCTTGTGTTCATAATAGGGTTTGCGATGAAGAAGCTACAGAGAGTTCGCTTAAGTTGCCGCTTAAACGTAAACTTGAGCGGATGTATCGGCTATAAAAAAATTCACACAGAAGATAAAAAAGGCTGAAAACTAACCCCGATAAAATGATATCCAGCTCTGGAAAGAAACGACCACGTGAGACTGCTGTCGAAAAGCTCGACGACTTTTTCGAAGTGGTCAGGAATTTGATAAATAGATTTTATCTCGAATTCAAACTCGTCCCCACAATTAGAAAGCTTTTGCAAAAATTGCAGGAAGAATCGAATTTTCCTTTTGCAGGGAAATGCTTAGGGGGTTATTAAAATCAAATGAATTTTTTTGGCGTAAATATCAAAATAACAGATAATTATTAATGGAGCGGCCCATTATATTGCAGAGAGAGATTGCATTGCAAAAATATATACGCGAAATTCGAAAATATAGCCAAGTATTATCTATTTGGATGAAACATATGGGTAGACAATGACCTAACCTTTAAAAACTGCTGGCGGAGCGATACCATATCTGGTGTAATAGGCAATATTGGATCTACTAGTGAGTAAAATTATGTTTTGTTTGCGCTTCCAAAGTTAACTATTTTCAAGATTTTTTTGCTGGAAATAGTTATATCTAGAATTATGTATTATAGAAAAAAATATAGTTAGTACAGATATATAAATAAATATACCTCAAGACTCAGTCTTGATCATCTGCTGATGGCACACATGGTTAGCGAAACGTGCGTCCAGTGTAAAATTAAAAGTGTTTTGGTGGATTGTACTGATTTAGTGTTTTATTTTGCTGTGTAACACCAAAGGGTCCAACCCTCAGCTGTAATTATTTCTTCTATTATATTAACAACACAATAATAAAATTATTCAAAATATTTAAGGGAGCTTTAATAAAAGCTTTTAGTGTTTATCTGCTAACTCAACAGTAACGATTCAAACAGCATAAAGTTATTTGAAAAAAATTATTAATCTGAGTATTATATTTATGATACACATTATTTTCATATAACACCGTACGCCCATGACTATTTTATGAATGAAATTGGGCGTGTTTTGTTTACAACTGCGTTCCCCTGCCGATACCCCGTAGCTACAGATCCGTTGGTCACACTATATAGCCTGATATTTAATTACAGTAACCATTGTATATTAAACCAAATTGAAATTTGACCTGAAAAGTTATACAGGGTGAGACAACATTAATATGGAACATTAGTCACTTTTAAAAACAAGTTAGTCCTTTATTTTAAATGGAACACCCAGAATATTTTTCGGTGTTCAATGGGGAATTTATATATCTTCAAAATATTATTAAGGTTGCCTACCCCTCAGACAAAGATGATCCTAGATATTTTAATTTTTATGATTTTGCGTCAGTAGATATTTATTATTTGAAA